TAAGATACTACAAGGAGCCTTAGAAGGGAAGGGTCACCAGCTCCATAGCGCGGACCACAGCGACGACGGGATGTTGGTTCCAAGAAGTTAGATAGGGGGCAGGATGGGAACATTATTGGTGGGTGGCAGGACGTGACAGCTGATAAGGTACCATAGGACTTTTTTTGAAGAGAGTGCCCCCGAAGTTCATAGTAGGGTAGGAGCAACACTCGGGAACTGGTCAGCTCTCATACTGAATAAAACACACAATACTAAGCATAAGCAGGTTCAGAGTTTTTAAAAAAGAGTTAAGGCGGTAGACTCAATGCTTAGTCCGTAGCTCATCGTACACATTTCACTACACGCCTGTTTTGTTCGCTCGCGGTGCAGCTGTTTCAACGTTTTTTATTTTGTTTTTTTTTCTTCATTTTGATCGACACGAAGGGGTTTAGGTACAGAAGCTTGCGATGTCGCTATCTCTCCCAACCACTTATTTACAGTTTATTACAGATCAAACATGGGACGTGTCAAAAAAGCCGCAAAAGTTGCGAGAAAAATCAAAACATTGAAGATGACCGACAACAGGATGTGAGTCTCACCTTTGTTCAGAATTCATTTCATGACTTCTCGCAAAACTGAATCGGACGAAATGTTTGTTTCGCTTTCTTTGGGTTGACCGCTCTTTCCGAGACAACGTAGGGTAATGCCGCGTTCGCAACCGGCGTTCTTGGTGGGATAAAGAATCGGAGACTTATAAATAAGTAGATGTGGATCGTGTTCATCTACTTCATTCTAATTTGGAAGGGGCGAAATCGATTTGTACCTATCTTTTCACGGATTCCCCGATCCACTAGGTGGGCGGACCTCAGCAGTCATTTCTGGCTCAGGTGCAGCACAGGCCGGTCGTTAGAAGCAAACAAATGACGGTGCTAACGTATTTGGGGGGGGGGGGGGGGGTGGACCACGCGGCGGGTCGCATCTATTCCTACAGCATCTGCGCGGCGCGATTCTAGCAGTCAAATTAGAATAAAACAAACAAGGTTCACCGGAAACTTGCTGAGAAATCCCACGGAAGCCGAAAACAAATGTTTGATCCTTTGTAGTCAACAATAACAGTCAACAACAAACAGGCAACAAAATTTTGCAGTTGATTCAAAAATCTCCCAGCCCACAACTGTTTCTTCGGACTTTTTAGCGTTACTGTATTAATATTAGCTCGAGCAGAAGAGCGATGAGTTATCGCACGCACGAGCGCGTGTCCCCCCCCTAAAGCGTTAGCACATCACCGAGATGACGGGTCATCTCTGGTGGTATATCATGTCAAGTAGCACGTCAACGTAGGTAGCTTCCATGAACCATGCCGATGACGTCATTCATGCATTATATGGCGCAGATGACGTCATTCACGTGCTGTGTGGCCTACGCGAACAATGCAGCCGTGAACAGCAACGTACCGGATCACGTATCTGCGATACGTCAGCGCTCGCTTAGCTACATTTCTAACGAATCGAAAGTGATAGCGCCTAATAACTTTTCAGGAGGCGGGAGATGGTGTCAGCGAAATATTACTAGCGTCATTTGAATGTCACTTCTCCATTTTTTCAAATTTTGGCTCGTCATTTTGACAAGTTTAAAGGCAATTGGCACGATAAACTCCTAAGGCGAGTACGATTAATATGCCTAGCACGAAGGAGTTCCGCGACCTTGAGCAAAGTGCCTGCGTAGCCGGCCTTTTTCCAGGGAAGCTACCCTCATAAGCAGCACGATTAAGCTGCAACGTACAGGGCCCGAAACGCCCAATCGCGCCCCCCCCCGCCACAAAATGACGACCGTATCTGATCTCGTACTGCTTCATTAGCTTAGCTCTAAAACATAAAGCGGAACGGAATTGGTCTGAAGCGACTGCGGTGCTGCATGGATATGTGAGTACATACGTGCCACCATATTTAGCGCAGCGGTTATTGGCAAGATGCCTATGGTAAACTCTCCCAACTGCTTTTCGATTCATTAAGAACGGAGGCTTTTCTTCTCATGTTTTTGACCTTTTCACTTCGTTTTTTCGCCATTTTCCCGCTCTATGCACGCCCTTGCCTAGCATTTTTTTAGAACCCAAAGCGCCAAATTTCGTACCATACGCCTTTAACAAGAGTGAGAGAGTGAAAGCAAGGCATAGAGGTTGTTGACAATATTCTCCAAGTTCACTCTCTTGTTGTAACCTCGGCATCGTTGTTAATTCTGTTTATGTTGCTATGCCACTCGAGGTTTTGAGGTGGAAATCTTTATTTTACGGCCTAACGTTTCGACGTGGTCGTCTTCTTCAGAGGCCTAAACGCGTTTCGAGGTTAGGAAATGAACACTACCTTACTAAGCGCCCAACCAACCCTAGCAGTTCCGATGGCGTGATCGGAACTCAACCCAAAGGCCCCACAACACGAATAGTGCACTCACCAAGCTTCCACCATATATCCGCAATCACATGCGGTTAGTAGTTAGTAGAGAATGAGACTTACTATAGCGTTTCCTGACACGTTTAGAAGCGAGGAGACGCACGTGGCACTACTACTTAGAGCTCGCAATACGGTATGTATGGCAAAAGGTCATTCGTCACTGACGGACACTCATCTCGGCTGTTCATCCTAGGATTTCTAATTGAAATCCAAAACGCCTCTAACGCCTTCCTTGCCGAAATTTCCGTCTCCTGCGCCAATATCGTACACTTGATTCCAAAGTTGTTGCCGTCATGCTCCTCAGATTTATGCCTGCCAAGCGCTGTCGTGAGCCTATCACGTCTCATACCAGCTAGGTGCTCGTTTATTCGTATACCTAGCGGCCTTCCAGTCTCTCCAATATATGTGCGTCCACACACCAGACATTCTATTTGGTAGATCACACCCGATTTAGCGCAATCACCGAGTCTGCCATGTGGACAAATAACACAATCTCTAGATATGCACTGTTTATCGTACAGCCTGTTTCGAACCAGTTGCTGCTTGATGTTGCAGCTGGGGATGTTAACCAACTGAACAACATCTTGCAACTGTGCCCTAACAATGCTTCGTTGTATTGCAGTGCTTACCGTATCGGAGATAAAAGGAAGGCACAGTGGTAGCTTGTTTGGACGCGGGCCTTCTCGCATATTAGAGTGCTGTCTTGCAGTGCGTTGTGGTACCGTATAACCGTTCATAGCAGCTATCTCACAAGCTAGGCGGCGCGATTCTTGACGTTCAATCCACAAGCCGTTAAACGTGCACTTGTTAACAACATGCTGAGAACAGCAACGAGTATGTGCACAGGCGAAGCTGAACGTCAAGAATCGCGCCGCCTAGCTTGTGAGATAGCTGCTATGAACGGTTATACGGTACCACAACGCACTGCAAGACAGCACTCTAATATGCGAGAAGGCCCGCGTCCAAACAAACTACCACTGTGCCTTCCTTTTATCTCCGATACGATAAGCACTGCAATACAACGAAGCATTGTTAGGGCACAGTTGCAAGATGTTGTTCAGTTGGTTAACATCCCCAGCTGCAACATCAAGCAGCAACTGGTTCGAAACAGGCTGTACGATAAACAGTGCATATCTAGAGATTGTGTTATTTGTCCACATGGCAGACTCGGTGGTGATTCGCTAATCGGTCTGTATCTACGCAAATAGAATGTCTGCGTCGTGTGGACGCGCCAATATATTGGAGAGACTGGAGGCCGCTAGCGTGTACGAAGAACACGAAGACCTAGCTGTATGAAGACTATAGCGCTCACGACCAGCGCTTAGCAGGCCATAAATCTGAGGAGCATTAGAACGGACGGCAACAACTTTGGAATCAAGTGTACGATATTGGCGCAGGAGACGGAAATTTCGGCAAGGAAGGCGTTAGAGGCGTTTTGGATTTCAATTAGAAATCCTAGGATGAACAGCCGAGATGAGTGTCCGTCAGTGACGAATGACCTTTTGCCATACATACCGTATTGCGAGCTCTAAGTAGTAGTGCCACGTGCGTCTCCTCGCTTCTAAACGTGTCAGGAAACGCTATAGTAAGTCTCATTCTCTACTAACTACTAACCGCATGTGATTGCGGATATATGGTGGAAGCTTGGTGAGTGCACTATTCGTGTTGTGGGGCCTTTGGGTTGAGTTCCGATCACGCCATCGGAACTGCTAGGGTTGGTTGGGCGCTTAGTAAGGTAGTGTTCATTTCCTAACCTCGAAACGCGTTTAGGCCTCTGAAGAAGACGACCACGTCGAAACGTTAGGCCGTAAATAAAGATTTCCACCTTCAACAGGAGTGAGAGGGTGATAGCAATGGCCTAGAGGTTGTTGACAAGGTTATCCGGTGTTGTGGACTGTTTATAGGACTTGGAATGCTGACAAGTGCTTACATGTGTTGCCCCCTCCCCCCACAAGGAATATAAGCGCGAAACTTACCAGTGTTTCGCCCATGCTAAGTAAGATTCACAGTTTAACGGGTTCTCTGCCAATCCTTCTATCCTGGGTGGGGGTAAGTTATGAATACTATAGTCAACTTAGGTCGAATTCTTGTTCAATAAAGTAGTAGAAGCGAACAAGCGAGTAGTAGAAGTTGGATACTTAAGCCCAATCTTCAAGTGTTATACCTTCCAGAAAAGAAGAAAACAGGATCATTCGCAAGAAGAAAGAGGATCCACAAGAACTGAAAATTAAGGAGGCGTAAGTTTTCAGTCGTTTTATTTAGTAAAGAAGCTGATTTCTATGTTGCAATTTCAGCCCAAAGATTTCATCAGCCATGTTCCTCAAGTTCAACAATCAACTGGGCCCTCCATTTCACGTGCTTGTCGACACGAACTTTGTTAACTTTGCGGTGAAGAATAGACTTGACGTGATTCAAGGCTTTCGAGATTGTCTCTATGCGCACAGTTAGTTTTTTTTCTAATCCCCTCTTTTGCCATTTTGCGTCATGACGATAACGTTCCCCTTTTTAGCGATTCCCTACATAACGGATTGCGTCATGGGTGAACTGGAAAAAGCCGGACGCCGGTTCAAAATCGCTTTAAAGGTTATAAAAGATAACCGGTTTCAACGTCTGAAATGCGATCACAAGGGCATTTATGCTGATGACTGCTTAGTGCAACGCGTCACTCAGGTATCATCCCATGTGCTTACTATTTTTTTGAATATGGCGTTCTTCGCTGTATAGCGTGAAGCGATCCTGTTGAAAGTAAGGGACGTCACAAAGCGACGTCAAGTATAAAAGGGCTAAAATCTGGAAAGGCCTCAGTCTCTCACCCTTAGCATTACGGTTTGCGGTTTTATACTACTCGATCGATTACACCAACTCCACAGG